TTTTAAATTCTACATTCATTTCAATAGTAATTGTGAACCACAAATAAAACAAACAACATTTATCTCTATTTTCATCATCATCATCCTCCTCCTCCTTCATTGAAACCGAAACACAATTGAATTATAGTAAAATAATTAAGTACATAAAATGAAGAGAAAAGTTGTAACCACCACCACCACCACCACAACAACAACAACAACAACAACAAAAAATAAAAAATAAATAAAATAAAAAAATTAAACATAATTCTTACAAGAGGCATGATTTTATTTTGTAAATGTGATGTATGATGAATTTGATAAACGACGGTTAGAGTTAGAGATAATAGAAAAAAACGAGAGAAAAGGAAAAAGAACTCGAAAATATAAAAATAGTTACCAAAAATCCAGACAATATGTGCACATGGTAGTGAGCATAATCTGAGAAAAAAAATGAACAGCGCGCGCACGAGAGAGAGAGAGAGAGAAAGAGAGAAGGAGCACGAGCTCGCTCAGTTAATCAATAATAATCAATCATAATTGTCTAAGAAAAAGTTAAATAATTAATAGTGTAGACAAGTCATAGACATAGAAACAAAAAGTGAGAGGGACATAAAATAAGCAACAAAAAAAAGAAAAGTTGTGATACAGACACATATACACATGTGTAGATATACAGACATAGAAATGTAAAGTGTTGAATAATCCAAAAAGAAAATGATCAGATAAGAAATTAGTTAAGAAGAATACACATCGAGTCTAGGCACATATAGAATATGTAATCAAGGCAACAACAACAACAACAAAACCCCCTCAGAAAACTGGTAAGTGATAATAATAATAATACACGACAAAGTAGAAAGTTACTAAGAGAAAAAGAATGAAATAACTAGTGGAAATTAATTTTTGTTAATTATAGGGTTTAAATCAATAATAGTAAATTTATGTTTAGATGACAACTATTGTTACTACTGAAGAGAGAAAGAGAGGGAGGGAGGAGAAAAAATATTTTGAAAATGGTTATTAAATAACATTTTCTGTAAAATGAAGAAAGTAAATAAGAATGTTTATATGTCATATATACTAAGACAAAGAAGGAACGATCAAAATAAGAAAGTATGATAGATTAGTTAGTTTAGTAATTGAAATGATCAATTATGGAAAGTGTTCCCTCATAGATGTATTTCAATACAATGAAATTACTTGAAAATTATTATGTACAAGAAAAAACTAAGAGTAGTGATTCAATTAACCTACTGATTTGTATTAAGTAGTAACATTGGAACACGGAAAATACATAACCTAACTATTGAAAGAAACTAACCATATAAATTCAATTGTTGAATAATGTATTACAGAATTTCACAGGTTGAAATCACGAGTCAACTGAAGCTAGACCACCATGGAAAACCTGGAAGCACTGGACGGCCGTTTCGTCCTATTGTGGAATTCCTCAGCACTGCGCATCCACGACCTCGCTCCCTGCGAGATTCCAACCCAGGACTTACTGGCTTCGCGCGTGAGCACATAACCACTAGACCACTGAGCCGGCATCCAACGGTGTTAATGTCTAACTTCAACCAATCCACGAAGTTGTGCGACTTCAGGAGATACTTCTGGAGTACTAGTTAGAAGCCGTTACCAGTGGAGTTCAGCCAGGTCTGTTGTGAGATACTACCTCACTGAAGATAATGGAGTATGGTGTCGCAACTTCGTGGATTGGTTGAAGTTAGACATTAACACCGTTGGATGGTGGCTCAGTGGTCTAGTGGTTAGGCGCTAGCGTGCGAGACTAATAGGTCCTGGGTTCGAATCCCGCGTGGTGCGGGATCGTGGATACGCACTGCTGAGGAGTCCTATGCTAGGACGAAACGGCCGTCCAGTGCTTCTAGGTTTTCCATGATGGTCTAGCTTCAACTGACTAATGATCTTAATCATTGAAAATATATATTTGCGATTGTACAGTTTTGAAAATGAATTCGCCGAAAAAGGGAGAACTCTTCGCTGAACTAATCTTTCTTATTGAAGAAAATAACTCGTCAAGAACTCATAATATCATGGAGGAAGAATGTAATTGTAAAATGTCAGAGAATGAATTTGAATGAATAAAATCAAACGTTTCACTTGATCATCCGGTTCTAGCTTTTTCAAGGAAATATAATCAAAATGATCGAATGTAAATAAGTATATACTTCTCTGGTTAATTGTATATTAAATAGGTCATCCAATCAATGTTAACAGTATTTAAAGTACATATTAGTATTAATGTGTAAGAGATATATGGTGTGATTAGATGACCTATTTAGTAATATAATTAACCAGAGAAGTATATACTTATTTACATTCGATTATTTTGATGATATTACCTTGAAAAAGCTTAGACCAGATTATCAAACGAAACGTTCGATTTACTTTAAATCCATTCTCTGAGATTTTAAAACGACATTCTTTCACCTTAATGTCTTAAATACATTTGGCAACCAAATACTGTGAAATTATTCGATCAAATTTAGACGCAAGTTCTTATACTCATTATGTAATATTTTTTACGCTCAGTTGTTAGAGGTAGTTAAAAGATATTGTATCAGTTCGTGAAGTCATTATCTCAGTTATGTTAGTAGATGTAGACTATCTGGTTGAGATCAATAGTTGGAGAGCCTTGATGACATGGAACAGAAGTATTTACTCTTTATTTTCATCTCCATGCACAATTCCAGTATTTCTTCATGCATAACAACCAACAATTTATTTAAAACCATATTTCCAATATTGACCCGTTCTCATTATTGCTGTTACTACATTATTTAGATCTCCTTTGCTGTTCATATCTTTGTGCTAATATAGTATGGCAACTTGAACTAAGGTACATTTTTGCCGGACTCTACTTTGATAATGACTACCTATGAATCGATTTAATCATTATCACGCTCTAAACGCTTGACTAACCATTCTATCAGGTATGCAAACTGTGGAAAGAAATTGAATGTCGAAATTCAGACAAACATGCCGACAACTTATGCTAATACAAATGTATTCGAATCAATTCAGACAGGAGAATAAGGAAGGTGGATTAAGATAGGTGAATAGTAAGAAAAATACCCCTACAATAGCTTGTCAGCTTACATAGTAGGATTAAAGCATTAGATGATATATTCGACCTTTTTCTAAAAGATTACGGGTCGTCTTGAAGAAATAAAACTTCATCTATTCCAAGAGTGAAATACCTGTATACCACACACAGACATGAGAACACTATTGAAAAACAAGAAGTAAATAATTACAAACAACTTTACAAAATACATAATATTTATGTTAGTTTACAGTGTACACAATCGATTATATCTGAACTGTATATACGAATCTCACTATACTTATCTTACTTTTGATATTTGAATAGTTTGAAACTAACTCTCTCTTACACATATACATGGAAAGAGGTGAGTTGAGCAGATTCGTATCGTAATAACAACGCTGGTGGAACAATAGGAAATTAGTAATCAGCAATCTACCAGGCTCGAATCCCAACATACCGATTACAGACTAGAGGTAACCAATCACTATCTCTAACCATTTATACATGAAAAGTACTGTTCAAAGTCAAGTGAACATAGTATTTGTACTTGAAAGGAAAAATAGTCGACAATAGACTCCATAATTTTCTACATTCTAATAGAATAATCTTTGAGAAGGCACAATCTATCTAAATTAAAAATGATACCAATAAAGTAATACACAAAAAACACACACACTGAAACTGACACACAGACATTGAGAGAAACAAGTAGCACAAAAATGATCGATTATATAATAAGTAAGTCAATCTTTATAGAGCGCAAGAAAGAGAATAACACAGACTAGGTCACAAATTTAACTTGACCTAAACATAATTAGATAGAATAGTATTATTTTCTAGTGAAAAAAAGCATCAATTAGTCTGGTTATGAAATAGAAAAGATTTTTATCTGTAATATTGAAAGAGAAGTTTATTCATTGAAGTGTTTAAAATAAAAAATATCAACGAGACATCACTAATAATGATCACGAAAGTGAAGTTAAATGTAAAATTGCACTACAACGGATAAAATTTTCTCATGTATTTACCCGTTCAAAGAAAAGGTGTGGTATTTTGTAACATTTTAAAACATAACTTTGTAGGTATACTCCACACACACACACACACTTAGGACATCTATGTTTTATATACACTACTTAGTAATAACAGTTCATTGTTTACAATAGTTATTATTAAAACGACATGTATTTCGTCGATAACGATGTAATATTGTTGTATACTACTGATGCAACACTTTACATGTATCTTATGCTTCACATCATTATTATTCAGTTAAACACAATTTGCGGATTATATATCTTTTTAAATGGTACAGTCATATATACTTCCTTAAATATCACTTCTCTTTTGTTGAATCAACCTGATCATAGCTGTATATTAGGATGTGGGTTTGGATAAATTATTCAATGTATCAAGTGTTTGTTAATGTGGAGCGTAGCATAATATATGCGTTCGCCCGAGATACTGTGATGACAAATTAGTACGGTAAGATGAAATTAGCAGGATCAATAACATGGGCATCGAGATAATTGTGATGTTCAATGATGATGAAAGGCTAGGCATTGAGAATATGGTTCTAAAAGACGTGATAAAAATGTATGAACGAAGAAACAGGGGAATTCAAGACTTAATCGAGGAAAAAGGAGTAAATGCATTGGTTCTAATTCAAAGTCATCAACCAGGTAGTCTGCATTTACATAGCTGCCTTAGACCAACCATTAATTACTTCAGGAATTAGTCACATCTTTTTCGTTCAATCACCACTAGCTTTTTCTCAAACTACTTATTTCTGCATTGAAGTAGACAGTGATCGGTCATATGTAATACATGTCCAAATCACTTCAGTCCACTAAATTTTACAAAATTATTAAGTGGTTTACTATACTTGGTTCAATGAATAGAATGTAATTTAGTTTGTTAAAAAAACTTAACAATTTAAACAACTTACTCGAAATATATAAAAGAATAACCCAAAAAGAGCAGGTCCAAGTCCGTTGCATAAACCTCGTATTCCAGTGATAAGACCCTGACAATTACAAAGAGCATAGTGAATTAACTCAGATTTTAAGTTAAAGAAAACACTGTTGATGGATACCCAAATTCAACTGTGGCTGTTACGGGATTCAACTATTTCAAGAAGGTCGGAATGAGGACACTTACAAACCGATGCTTATTGCATAATTATCACGGTAATGTTAGATATCGAGTAACACAGTCTGTCTAAATGTTGAGCTCACTGACTTCGATGATAATTCCTCGAAAGCGTTCTAAGAAAGCATGAAAATGCAGATAATACATCGAATGATCGGTGTTCGTTTTAAACTTCAAATACAATTCTAAGAAACGAATGATTTTCTTTATTGTCCCGACTGAAAAACTATCGATTTACTACTAATTTTTTTCATGTTTGCCAAAAAGATCTAGGATTTTAAAATCATATACAATCTTAAAGATACCCTAGTTTTCTATACCTCTACACTAGGATTCGAAGTAAAGCATTCACAATAATTCCTGCGGACATTTTTCGTTAATTACTTAGTGACTGCATTCAAAAATAGATAAGATTTACCTCTTAACACATTTTTGCATCTTTTAGGACTTGATCCTTTGTCACATAGCTTCACAGTCAGAGGCGTTACCACCTCCTGTAAGATTGAGATGTGTTCACAACCGATTGATCACTGGGTAGTGACCAATGTCATGTACGAATCGAATTATATCAATAAAGTTAAAATGTGGCCACCAATCTAAGTGACCCGGCATGGTAGGTACTATATTACTCGATTACTGAAACCAAAATAGACGGAGTGGGGTCCAAACCTAGGACTTGATGACTGAAACTCGAATACTTTATATCAGTGAATGTAATCAAATCATGATAATCGAAAACTATATTTAGTCAGAATCTGATAATAATCAATAATAATTAACTTACTTGTGCTACACCTTGTTGATCCGCTGCAGCATGAGTTGATATAAATGTACTTAGAGCAGGATATGTGATAGAGCCCGTAGCAGCAATTAAACCAGCTGACCATAATAAGCCAGAATTTGTAACAAAACCATATAATGTTAATTGAATTGCTTCAAATATTAAACCAAATATAATAACACGTTTTGGTCGCATAATACGATTTAATAAAGATAAAATAAGTGTCTGTTAATATAGAAAAGAAAAAAGAAACAACAGAAAAATAGATTAACTCATTTATCAGGTAGTTTGACATGTGTCATACACAAATTATGAAGGCTATTGATACTAACCAGTGGTGCAAACCGAAGTAGAAGAAAGATATAATCAGGCAAATGAAAACATGGTATCAGACCATGGAGACACTGACTGCTGGGACTTGGTCATGTACATAGGTGTAGACTACCTGGTTACGTGTCCACGTGACTATCATAACGACTGGTTAGAAACGTTGAGTGCTATGGTTCTAAATCATTCGCAATCGCACAGTGCATTCACTATTTGTCTTCCTTTAAATCTTAAGTTTCTAAAACTGCGATAAATTTCTTATTATCTGATTAATTTATATTTTCTTCTCGAATCGTATAACCGTATAATCCTATAATCTTTTTATGACCAATAATATTTTTACTATATCTATTACTCTGGGATTTCCACCGACAATTTCATCTTGCTGTTATCCGGAAACATAAACCAATGTACACATGAACGAGGTTCTATGTTACCTACATTTGACTGACTGGAACCAAAGTAAGGGAAGCGTATTTGGAATCTAAGGCCTAGTGATTGGAAGTCAAACGACTAAACCACTAAGCCAACATTCAAACTTATACCTTCAGGCATATGAATATCTAGGTAATTAAGTCAAATCGGTTAACGAGGTAGAGAATCCTCAACGACTGAGATGGATAGGATATGCTTTACAGATATGATGGGAAAATGATATATGATTGATTTATAGTGAGGCCTGTGTGATTGGAGTGTAATTACAGGAGAGCAGTTGTATGATCTATTCCGAGTATTGAATTATTTTGCCTTGATTTATTCATTTGAGCACATAAACATTAGTATATAGAGGCATCAATTATGTGTGTACCACACTTTGTAATTCGATATGTGTGAGGGCTGGATTACTGCCCAGGTGTCCAGACCGGGACAGGTAGTTTTCTTAGGAGGCCACCTCGAGCTTTTAACAGATAGGTCTAATCCACAAGGGAGTGGAGCAATGTTAGGAGACGCGAACGCGTGATAGCCGCTGACCAACAATAGGTTCATACTCCATTTGTTCCTTCACAAACCTGGAGTCCATGCACACCATTGGTTTGGAATCAGGGTTTTCCAACTCCCCTACGTGGACCCTCTATATCCACCAACTCGGTTAAAGCACTGGATATTCGCTCTTCGTCCTCTCTATTTCGTAAACAAAAACCTCACCGCGAGAAAGCAGTGAGCAGAACTTCGCTGAAAGTGGCTGTAAGAGCATTTCGAGAGGGAGAGCTGAATTTCCCCCATCCTGGACCGTACCAGGGCATTTTGCGGCTTTGCTTTGAATGTAAATTTTGTATCAATGGCTTTCTGTTAACGACTATTGGTTCAGGCAAACAGTATGAAAAAATCTCTACAATCCTCTAACAAGAGTGAACATAAACTCTACTTTTGTACGTAGTTTCAAACTTGAGCCTGGCGACCAATTAGAATGAAGCGAAAATGTTTATTTACATTATCCTAATCCATGATAGAAGGAGTGTTTTATCATAAGATTTTCGTCAGCTTATATGTAAAATGTAGTTTTCTACGACGAAAATACCACTCTATTATGCTACGGACATGTAGGGCAGTCAATCAGTCATGATGGGAGAAAAATTACAACACAGACAAACCCAAACTTCCAATTAATTCTACAATGGAAATTAATAAAAATATCTACAATTTAATAATTGAATAAACGAAAACATAACCGTGATTACTGACTATAATATACTTAGATTGATTTGACAATGTAAAGTTTATCCCTAGACTCTTACAACAAGAACTATACACTGATTCAATTAAAGGTAAGGCTGATTCAAATGCTCAATTAACAAATGAGTAGTTCGAAAAATATTAAAATGATCAAATCGACAACAATCTTAAGTATGAAACACCAACGAAATAAATTAACAGTTAGAGTGTACTTGATTTGTTTTTATTTTTCGGTTTGTTTAAATACTCTACAATTGAAATGAGTTATGTCGACTACAAAATTATACGTTATATGCACTGAATTACATGTGTTTTGATTTTAGTACCTATACAGTGTATGTAATACAAATTGAGTAACATATATCCATGTCGAAAAATTGGTGATACACATAGGCTTTCTCTCTCTCTCTCTCACTCCCTCTTTCATACACACACACACAAAGCATAAAATAACAATAAAGAAATTGAAATAGAAATACAGATAATAGAGAAGATTGGATATGATTACGGAACAATGAACAAAAGTGTTCAACATTGCTACTATTATGATGATGTAGTTTATACTTTAATGTCGATATATTAAGTAATTTAGTCAATTGATTATAGACAATTTATGATATAACATAAATGAGTATCAGTATAACTTGTGACATTTGCAGTTCACAGAAAAACGGAGAAAGAATAAAACTGTAAGGCTCAACATAAGAATGAAACATTCAACAAATGAGATAGAAGAATGAAAAGTATGCAGGAAATCGGTCAGTCAGTCAGTCAGTAACAACGTAGAACTTCGTACATATGCACATCAGCTCGAGTTGCGATACCACATCAGCACAGAGATGCAGTTGTCGATTCAAATCCCGTGGAGGTAGTAAACGTATAAACAGTAGTCGGAAGCATTAGGGTTTGAAGATGTTATTCAAGGAGTATAATACAGTGAAATAAATTTGGAAAGAGAAAAAATAAAGGGACATGAAGAATTCAAAATATTAGAATTTGGGAGAACACAAAGAGTAGATTCGCCTGCGCCATTGCAAACGATTTTGAGTCATGTCATTCAAGGTCTTTAACCATCATTCGCTATCGTCTCGCAGATCCCAACCAACATGGCCCAGTTCGCTTGTTAGTGACTTTATGGATTTGTACCATGCTTTGGTCTGTCAGCACCTATCTTTCTTACAATCTACTCCTACATCATAAAACATCGCACGTCAGTACAGTCGGTGGTTGGGCATACGTAGCACATGTCCTATCCATCCTAACTAATGAAGTTTCATTACTTCATCAATTGATTTGCCATCCAGGAAATCGGTACAAATATCAGAGCTTAGATTTTAAATGCGTGATTATTTATCATAAATTATTGTGAATTAATTACGAACCGATTGCTCAAGTTTGCATTACTTAAAGTTTATATTGAAAGTTCTCATTTTGAAATGTATTGTAAAAAGAAGAACGAATAGAACAAAGACACTTTTTTTTAAAATTAGTCCTTCATTATGACTTTTACACTAACATATATATGATTTTAGTAGTTGAGATCATGAGTCAATTAAAGCTAGACCACCATGGAAGCACTGGACAACCGTTTCGTCCTAATGTGGGACTCCTCAGAAGTGTGCATTCGAATCTAGGACATATCAGCGCTTAACTATTAGACCAGTGAACCAGTATCTAATGGTGTTAATAACTAATTTCAATTAATCCACGAAATTGAGCGATACATCTACCATTGTCTCCAGTGAGTTATTATCTTACAACAGACTCAGTTGAACTCTACTGTTCACTGCTTCTCATTAAAACTCCAGGAAATATCTCTTGTATGATTTACAACAATGAAATACTTTAGAAGTAGTAGTTATGTAACATAATTATATATAATGTCATATTGATTATAAAATAATAGTGAATAATTAGAAGAAACAAAAGATTTTAATAATCAAAGTAATTATCTGAAGAATTCAATTAAACAGTTACTACATTATAATTTAACTATTGTGTAAACCATGATTTCTTATTTGTAGCGCTTTGTAATCAAGCAATTAGTAATGTATATAGATTTATGAATATATAGGGTTTTATGTACTTGGTGTATTCAACTCATAATTAACTACTACTACTACTATTATCAGGATAGATGGAAGTTTAATCTTGGAGTAAGGGTTTTTTGTGTGCAATTATTGTTCAAGTTTATTTGTTGTTAATCAAATAGGGTCATTGGTTAAAATGAAGAACAATTTAGTCTGATCAGCATAAAGCATACTTGTATTAGTGGAGTATAACCTCATGTGATTCAATTAAGAGATCTATAAGATTAGAACAAATAGCCAATTCATAATGTAACACCATAAAACTTCTAACAAAGTCTTAGAAATAAAATAAAATAAAATCGTACCATATTAGTGATTTATTCTATAATAATCATATTTATTAAGATGAGATAGATTGAGAAAAACACACACACACACACAAATACCCTAAATGAATACATTTTTCAATGGTTAAGATCATGAGTTAGTTGAAGCTAGACCACCATCTGATATTAATCAACATGTGCTCACTAGTGACTGGTTTGACGAGGTATGTCTTGGAGTTCTAGTGAGAGGTAGTGACCACTGGAGTTCAACCAGGTCTGTTGTAAGATAGTAACTCACTGAAGAAGACAATGGTGAATGTGTCGCTCAATTTCGTGAATTAGTTGAAGTTAGACATTGACACCGTTGGATACCGGCTCAGGGGTCTAGTGGTTAAATGTTCGCGCGCAAAACCAGTAGGTCCTGGGTTGGAATCTCGCAGGGGGCGAGGTCGTGGATGTGCATTTCTGAGGAGTCCCACAATAGGACGAAACGGCCGTTCAGTGCTTCCAGGTTTTCCATGGTGGTCTAGCTTCAGTCAGTCAGTAACAACGTAGAACTTCGTACGTACGTACATCAGTTTGAGTTGCCACACCACATTAGCACAGAGATGCAATTGTCGATTCAAATCCCGTGGTGGTAGAGGTAGTAAGAGTATAAGAAGTAATCGGGAAGATTAGGGTTTGGAGATGTTATTTAAAGAGTATAATCCAGTGAAATAAATTTGGGAAGAGAAAAAAAACAGACAAGGAGGATTCAGGAGATTAGAATTTGGTAGAACACAGAGAGTGGATGCACCTGCGCCAATGCAAACGATTTTGAGCCATGTCATTCAGGGTCTCTAACCATTGGTTGCTATCATCACGCGGTCCCCAACCAGGTAGTCTAGCTTCAACTGACTCATGATCTTAACCATTGAGAATACATTTTTCTTTAATTACTAGTACAAATAGTTACAGAGTAAACAAAATATAGTTCAGGTACGATAAATAATAATAACTATATAAACAATATTCAGAATCAATCGGATCATTATTACTATTATTATAAGAATATAATGATGATAATAATAATGACAAAATCCTTCTTCTATTGCTTCTTCATCTTCATGACTCAAATTCAATCAATAGTAGCAATAACAAACAATAATGTATATTTTAGATTCAATTTGTTTATTTTCAACACTTTGTTACTACTAATCTCTTATTTTCTTCAATCACTCACTTAATCGCTTGCTCATACATTCATTGAATACATTTTCTGTGTGGATGCAACATGAGTGTGTGTGTGAGAGAGAGAGAGAGAGAGAGAGAGCGACAGAAAGAGTGAAGCTGTAACAGGATATTACATATTATTGTTGTTGTACAGGTAATGATAGACACAGTCACATATTGTTGAACCACTTAATTAGTACAAATATGGTACGATTATTATGTACTAATTATTAAACAGATAACAAATACATAAATATGAATCATTATGAAAAATTTTATGATTGAATATAAATATATTTATTGATATGCTTAAAGTATTGATAAATTCTTATCAACAACTCTATAGAAGTTTTCTTCTTGTAAAGTAAAGACCAATTACGAAACATTGGATAATGTAAATTCACTTTGTATTGTTTTTTTCCTTGAATCTTCCCATTGATGTTTAAGACTGCAATTGATCCATCTGTTATTGGTATATGTGCATACTGTGCGTATTGCCTCGATATTGTCATAATTCACAAGCTTTATAAGCAAAGATGGATATTGGCTAGCAGTGGAATCTAGGACGCGCGTTTCATCCTATTCCCAACTTGTCAGTTTGATGTAACTGAATCTCAGAGTTAATGTTCACTCTGGATAATGTATTTCGTCTTATTTGCAGGCAACCATAATAAGATAGGAGTTAGTCCAGGTCATAATACATAACATCAGTATGAATAGACGGAAAGTAAAGAAGTTGAAGTAACGTGGTTAGAATGATAATGAGGAAGATTGTATACAAGGAGTATGGTTTGATAAGACGGAATGAAAAGGTATGTACGTATACTGAGAAAAACAAAATCTACAAAAAGACGAAGATAAAATACATATACATTATGGCTTGTTTCTAAACCTCTGTAAACCACGCCCTTAAATATTGATCAAAATAGTCGCGACAATCGCAAAAAGGTAGTCTTCAGCTGATAATATGTCTCGAAAAAAAACAGTTAGTGGCTTCAGGGAATGATTCCACATGTGAGGTTTGACCAAACCTAGTTTCCTGTCAACCCACCCTTACACTCTAAGTCGACGTAGATGATGATTGAGCATATGTAGTACATATCTTAGACATTTCAAGCGATGAAGATTCGCAATCACATCAACTGACTAGATTGGCTAAACATAAGTCATATCTTGATGGTTAGTTACTACTTCTCAATAGTACTTGTAATTCTATGGCCATTAGAACGTTACAATTTATTATAATAAGGGAGAAAATTATACTCACTTGTGCAATACATGACATGATACCAACAACAGCAATGAATAGTGCCACATTTTCTTCAGTGAATCCCATGACCTATTATTTTTATTAGAAAGAACAGCATGATTAATTTGAAGTATAAAATATAACACTACTGACCATCTCTTCGGTATCCCTGATGCGGATGCAATATGAAATTTTCTGAATATAATTGTATACCTACTACAGGTTATTGGAGCACTATAATATCATCTGGTTGTTTGTTAGGGCTTGTATAGTTCAGTGGATAACATGTTGGGTTTTTGAAATGAGAGTTAGTAAATTTGAAATCCAGTGTTAACATTAACATTAGCATGCACGCATATTCAGTCGATTAGTCTTGGATAGGACAAAACTTGCTTCGCGGATTCTACAGCTAACCAGAATGAAAATCTATTTAAAAAATTGTGACTAAATGGCAATATCAAGACTATCCGCTTAGGATCCATGAATGCCAGTGGATAATAATTAGTAGCCGTTCTTACTATCAATTATGAAGAAATACAAACTGTTATAAATATAACTAATGCTAGTTGCACAAGCTATTAGCTATCCGGATTAAGCGATTCCATGAACAATGGGCTGTCATCTGCAATTAATGATACCGGGTTCGAATCCTGGTATCAGTGGTGACACTGGGATAAAGAAATATCTTGGTTTTCTCTTATCTTGTTAGACTGTTGTTAACTGATGTCTTCTTGTTTTTCCTCTCTTGGATTCTGTCCAAGGAGTTGATAGAGATCCATTCCGTGTGATGATGCGTTTTGAGGCCAAACACATCCTGGGACGCTGAAGTTAATACTTCTTTAATCCCTTTCCAGTTGTTCTCTATTGTAGTTTCTTCTTCCAGTAGATTTTGTAAGGTTTTGGACCTGTTGACAAGAGCTATATTGGATTTGTTGAGTTTGTCAGTATCTCGAAGTAATGCTGTTTGTCCAGTGCTTCTTTAGATTGTTACATCCTAGCAACTACCACGTGGTGGTATGAAGCTATGTCACCTCCTTTTCTGGTTCTCACATCTTCCATTGACCTTTTGAATTTTTCAGTGATGTAAATATGATCAGTCTGATTCTTTCTAGTGTGATCTGGTGAGAGCCATGTAGCTTTATTTGTGCATTTGTGGAAGAATATTGTGCCACCTATAACCATTTTGTTGGATGCACATAAATTTGCAAGTCCCTCACCATTCTCGTTTCCTTCTCCTAGTCCATATGGCCTATGATATATTCATACCCGGTGTTGTCTATTTCGACTTTAGCGTTGTCAGGTCCTTTCCTGAGCAGTTCGTTATAGTTGATTGCAGCCCCTCGTAAAACCTATTTTTATCGTCGTTTTTGCAATCATTAATAAGTGTATGACATTGGATAAAATTCATTGTGATTGCCCTTTTTCTTGAAAGATGATTGGATGATTCTGGATCCATAAGATTCCCACCCAATAAGTGCTTTACGTGCTACTTTGTACAGAATGAGAGCAACTGCCTGCGCGTGCGGAGCATCTTATTTTTTTCATGGCCAGAGTACAAAACCATCTTTCTCGAAACTAACTGTTTTTGTCCAGCTTGAGTCTAATGGGTTTCACTTATTCCGAGCACCAACAGGTTGCATCTTCTCATTTTCGCAGCTATTTGACTGATCCTATCAGTCTCCAACATTTTTTGGACATTTCATGTACCAATAATAATTGTTGCTCTGGCTATCAGAAACGGGCATCGACTTTGAGACTCGAAAAATCTCGGCTTTCACCATGAGACATCGTCATAATACTTCTGAATAAAGATCGTTCAACTCGAATAGCATAGTTTAAATGGTTTAATTTGCTTATTCTGGTTAGCATTTTTCTTAGCAAGGTTGTTTTCTACAGAATGGGGATGCTGATCCTATACCCGACCCTCCTCTTCTATCCGAACTTGAAACTGATAGTAACCCTAGAAGGGTTCTAGCAAAAGAATAACTTAATAACAAGGACAAACAACACAAACGATACTCTATTGACAAAGTTGACAATTGGATTTATCATTTTAGTAGAAAAAAAAGGACGCACCAAAAAAACTGATTATAAAAGATGTTTGTAAAGGATAAACACACTATTGATCGATAGTAACCAAGTTGTTTACGATATAAATGTTGCTTATTTATTTACAAAGAAAGAATGAAAATGACAATAATGAACTAAAACATGTATATAGTTTAATTCACTTGATATTGTTTTTATTTGAATCTTCCCATTGATGTTGTTGGACTGAAATTGATCAGTCTCTTATTGGCATACTGAGTTCGAGTCCCAGAGTGAACATCAACTCTGAGATGCAGGTACATCCAGCTGACGAGTCCCAAACAGGACGAAACGCGCGTCCTGGATTCCACTGCTAGCCACTATCCATCTTTGCTTAAAACATGTATATAGTTTGTTTATAATTGTATTACACCTAAATTGTATAGCTTTTTAAGTAGAAATAAGATATCGTTTGTCCATACAGCTATATCTATATATCTATATATGAACGCATACATGTTCTCGTACATGCATACTTCGTTTTATCATTTAGAAATATAATTTCTTTGAGATTGATATCTCTATGTATGCGCATAAGTAAATTATATAACAAGGTATAGAATGCTTGTTGTTATCGTAAACAATTTGTGTATATTTACAGTGCAATCATTGTCAATGTATCATATTATTATTGTTTAACAAATTCATTGACTAATAATGCATGAAACAAACAATAGACACAATCTATATTGCAAGACATTAAAATGAGTTGAAAACTCTTATACAATTATATTAGAATGAAGTGATTGATTGTAAGAGCAAGGAATATCCATAGTTACAAACTTGTTTATGAAGTATCTACAAAATCAATTTTATCATGTAATTAACGATATTGGTTTTGAAATCTGGTGACAATGTCGTAACTGAATTCAGATTACATCTACACTTCTTATTATTGAATATTTTCTATTTTATGATAAAAATATTACATAAGGTAATTATTTAAGTTAAGATTTATTTTACTATCGATGGTTGTGAGACGTGAACTTTAAAAATGCAGGATATTCGTACGTTACTAGTATATCATTGAACTGTTTGCTCGTATGAGTTGGGATCGATGAGGCAACGAATTTTTATCAGCTGAGATAGTGGTTGGAGCGAGTATTACGTATGTCCAACCACCGTCGACCTTGATAAGCAGTGATAGCTAGTTAAGGACTAAGATAGAGGAAAGCTAGGGATGATTAAGCTACAGGGTGAAATCAGTCAATCAATTCATTGACTGTTGAACTGAACCATGTAAGTAGGTGCAGATCATTTGGTTAGTCTGAGCAACTATCATAACCAAGTTTGTAAGCTTTGAGTGACAAGCCTTGGAATTGTTCATGATGACTCGGTTATATTCACTTTTTTTCTTCCAATGGTCCTAATTTTCAATATTTTCTTTCCCAATCATATCTTCTACATATAATTTTTCTACTATCACTAATACTGTCCCTTCTTATATTACTCTGGAATCTCATTGTGCTAATGTGGTGTGGCAACTTGAGTCGATACACACAAGTGGCAGGTTATACGTTGTATATGCCTAATTAACTGCTGACTATCGATCCACATTTGATAGAACAGAAAATCAGACGATTGAAAAGACGTAAAAAATCGGGACAATATGTAGATGTATACAATAAATTATAAGGTTACACTAATTTCGTATAACGATTCACAATATATACGCTTAATTATTCAAAATTTGAGTCCTGGGACAGGGTTCTTGAATTCAGATTTGATATTTTTATTTTTTAATTAATTTACCAAACACAAATTAGTATACTTAGCATCAAGTCACACTTTAATTGTGAGGACTAGTGATATTTACTATGTCGTGGGACAGAGTTCGAACTTAAGACTCAACTAAATATCTTAACGATTCAATAACCATTTCAGACTCCATATTAAGAAAATAACGATAAAATATCTTCCATATCTATACTTACTAAGCGAAGATAAACGAAGAAACATGAATATTGTCCAGCTTCTGGCAAATAGGATAAAAATGTTGTAATACATATCATAAGAACAAGATGATCATTTGTCATTTGACGTAATGTCTGTAGAATAGATAAACAAGATATGAACACACAAAAAAAAACATTATACAATTAAAAACCCATACAGAAAACAATTAACCATCAAACATTTACATAGTTATATAAGTAAGTAACATGTAAATTTAAGCAAAATACCAATTATTGGAGGTGTTGTGTTCTTTGAGCTGGTTGGTTGGCTTGGTTATGAAACTGTCATTGTTCTTCTAGACACGACATCATTAGCACGTACTTTGATGAGAAGTGAGCAATTAGAATTTCGTATTAACGTATTAACGATGCCGTGTTCAAAATGTAAATGAAAACGGCAAGACTACAATTTATGGACGAACCAATCAGATTTAAGATGGCAAGTTTTGGATTTTGGCGAGAAATTCATTCATCCTTACGATTAGATAGCATTTTGGCATTATAGCTGATATCTACTGGTAATAAAAACCCTAAACCTCTAAGTCTTAATCATAATTCCGCGTACTAATCTGTAATCCTCTTTTAAACCTATTAAGTAAGTGAATATTCTCATGGTTGTTTTATTGTTGCTTAAAGGTCGTCTGTAAATTGTAGTGTTGCCATGAAAACTTCCCAACTAAATTAATCATCCATCGCCGAGGTCAACATATATGGTTTAATGAAACTTGTTCAATTTGTAATTTACACCATAAACCAATAAATAAGCAAATATTCTCCATAATGAATAAATTTGAAAAGGATTGCCGAAGGTGTAAGAAGAGAAATAGCAACCAATGGGGTTCGAATATTTCAGGATTACGAGAAATATCATCCTGTGGCAATATGATGATGATCATGAAATAATGCAAACTATCTGAAATTGAAAATATAAACCATAGTATGATAATTCGGCAAAGATGGATAGTGGCTAGCAGTGGAATCCAGTTTGACGTGCGTTTCGTCCTATTTGGGACTCGTCAGCTGAATGTACCTGCATCCCCGAGGTGATGTTCGCTCCTGGACTCAACCCAGTACCGTTCGCTTCAAACACAATCGCGTTATCTAGTTAGCTACTGAATACTGATAGCCACCTGCTAATTTAGCTAACTAAAAAAATACCACGTTCACCGTTGGGTCTGATGGTGGCCATATAATGAAATTTAATAAAAACACTACACTATTTTTGCTTCACAACAATTGTCTGGCTAAAGTTAGTTCATGACTTCAGTAATAAGTTAATCAGGTGTCAACCAATATCAAAGTTAGAATCATCAATACGAACGTCAAGACAGTTCTACTGTACGGAGCTTAAACTTGGAGAACTACTACAACCATCATAAAGAAGGTACAAGAGTTTATAAATAGTTGTCTATGCAAGATACACAACATCCATTGGCCGGATACTATCAGCAACAGCCTTTTGTGGGAGAGAACAACCCAGCTTCCAGCTGAAGAGGAAATTAAAAAAAGACAATGGAAATGGATAGGATATATATTACGAAAATCATCAAACTGCATCACGAAGCAAACCCTAACTTGAAATCCTGAAGGGAATCAGAAAAGAGGAAAGCTAAAGAGCACACTACGTTGGGAAATAGAAATAGATATGAAAAGGATGAATAATAACTGGAAAGAGCTGGAAAGGATTACCCAGGATAAAGTTGGATGGGAATGCTAGTGGGTGGTCTATGCTCCTCCACAAAGAGTAACAGGCGTAAGTAATCAGATACATAACATTGTTTATATAATACAAAAATCAACAATAGTTTTCTTTAGCACTTTCTTTTTTCTTCATGATTTATGTATATTGTTTTAATATATCGAATTGTAAAATGTGAAAATTTCAATGGGTATTTTTGTTTTGTTGTTGTGGTGATTGTGGTTGTTTAAATAATCGATTACAAAAACAACAACAAAAAATGGGGCGAGAATTTTGAAAATTAAGTCAATTCAACATGAATATTAATGTGTCAATCATTTGACTTTAATTTATTGTAATATCTAAGAGAGAGAGAGAGAGGGAGAGGGAGGAAGGAAGGAAGGGAGGGAGGAAGAAAAGAAAAATAATAATAATGAAACTGTAGAATAATTATTTAAATGATATTAGTTCATGCTTTAAACTAATGTGAACTTTATGTCAAAACAAACGAATCAGAGTTTGAGTGTTCACATTGTTCATATTAAAAAAGTTTATTTGTGCATTTTGGCACAACAACAACAACAATAATAATAATAATAATAATAACGGAAAAACTCATCCTTCTAAGCTATAATACATAAAGCTTAACGATTGATGACATCGACACTACTATCTGAAGTTTGTGCTGCTACTAATGATGATGATATTGTTCAGAAGAACGATGAATACTCTACGACTAAACCAACCAGCTTAGACAATAAAACTTCATCAAAATAAAAAAACAACAGTTGGATGATACTATTCAATTGTCAGTGAAATGATGTTCATTTCGTAACTGTTGAAAACAAGTTCAATAAAAATCAATCCTCTTAAGATAGATAATATTTAGTTCTTATCTTTTCCTAGAGCTTGAGAGCTTTAATAGTATAATACGGAGGCGCTTCTCACTTTCTCGAAATGCTCTTAAATGGCCACGCGTATATAATCTCTACCAGGGAAGTCCTACTCACTACATTCTCGTGGCAGGGGTGTTGTTTACGAAAGTGAGAGGACGAAAAGCGAATGTCCGGCGCTTTAACCGGATTCCAAACCAATGGTGCACATGGGTACCAGTATCCTGAATGAACAAATGGCCTATGAACCAATTATTAGTCACCGGCTTCCATGGGACTGAATCTGCTTACGATGCTTCACTGCCTTGTGGATCAGACCTTCAGGTCGAAGGCTCGGGGAGTGGCCCCCTACGATAACCACCTGCTTCGGTTTGGGCACCCGGGCAGTATCACAGCCCTCATACATATCGAATGAGATTTGTGTGGCGCATATGTATTTGGTGCCTCCTTGTACCAATATCTATGTGTTAAAATAATAATAATATATATAATGGTATACTAATTAAATTACCAGAAAATGTGATAGAAAGTAATAATGGATGTGTCGCTGAAGTTCATGGATTGGTTGAAGTTAGACATTAACATTGTTGGATACCAGCTCAGTGGTCTAGTGATTAAGCGCTGGCGCGCGAGACTGATGGGTCCTGGGTTCGAATCCCGGGAGGCGGGGTCGTGAATGCGCCGTGCTGAGGAGTCCCACAATAGGACAAAACGGCCTTCCAGTGCTTCCAGGTTTTTCATGGTGATCTAGCTTCAAATGTCTTATGAATTCAACTACTACAATCTCCACAAAACCCTTTATGATACTACTAAATCATAGTTTACAATTGTTACAAAATAAGAACTATGACAGAAACTCATTTGAAGGTGATGAAATATGTATGAATTGGTCAACTTAGTTAAATATTGAATGTATATTAGTCATTTGTTGAAAAAGAATAGTGAATCGCCTTGAGAAAAGTCAATCTGTATAGCACACATATATATATACATATAGGTACAGTTACACATATGTGTACGTTTAGTCCTTTTTTTGCTTCATGTCCAAGATACATATTATTCACATGTCATTGTCCAATTAATGGATTTCGTGTTTACGCATAAAGATCAATAAATCCAGTGCTAGTTAATATATATATGCATATGGGTGTATTGATTTGTTTTAACCAGAGAGAAAAAATACAAGTGTCTTTATACTTCTTTTTAGTATTGTTTCCTCTCGCCTTTCTTGACTGCTGAGCCGATAATCTGCCACTCTGTGTTAACTCAATACGTACCTAACAGTTTACTTAATTTTGTGGGACAGGTTCATAGTGTTGGCTACATAAAGTGGTAGCTAAATTTGTTAAGGTGTTCGATTTTCAACCACTAAGTTTTAGGTTCGAACTTCATTTTATACACTTTAGTTTGAGCAACCGGGGAATATCATCAGCTTATTATAATCAAGTATCTGGTGGACGAATCAATTTATTTTATACTCTACCTAAACGTGTTTTTGATGATGGAACATCTCGTCAATTATGATCATGTAGTTTCTGCCTCCGCGCTCCGTTCAACAGAAGTAGTAACTTTCAAAGTTATCAATTGGATCCAAGTAGAATATGAAAACTGTTTAAAGCTGAAGTTTTGAGAATTTATTTATTAATTATTTATTTGATCACATAAGTATTAGTACAAAGAGGAACCAAATACATATGCGCCACACAAATTCCATTCGATATGTGTGAGGGCTGTGATACTGCCCGGGTGCTCAAATCGAAGCAAGCGGTTATCTTAGGCGGCAACACCCGGTGTCTTCGACCTTAAGGTCTGATCCACAAGGTAGTGGAGCATCATAAGCAGATTCAGTCCCATGGAAGCCGGTGGCTAACAATTGGTTCATAGGCCATTTGTTCATTCAGGATACTGGAGCCCATGTGCACCATTGGTTCGGAATCAGGGCTTTCCAACTGCACTAGGTGGACTCTCCGCGTCCACCAACCCGGTTAAAGCCGATGCCGGACATTCGCTTTTCGTTCTTTCAGTTTTGTAAACAACACTCGTGCGAGAATGTAGTGAGTAGGACTTCCCTGGCAGAGATTATATACGAGTGGCCATGTGAGAGCATTTCGAGAGGGAGAGCGGATTCTCCCCACTCTCGACCGTACCAGGGCATTTGGGTGTGTATGTTCAAAAAATGAAATGACTAAGTGAATCCTTTTATTCTACGATGATTTTAAAATGGCTTACTCTTTTCTTCATCACCTTTTGTTTCGTCTATTTCAGTATTTATCAAGTGGACAATTATCATTTTTTATTTCTTTTATTATACTTCTCATCTACGATCTATTTGCACTTGATCATTTCTCATTATCATTATATAATTGTTATTTTAATTTCCGAGTGATTTTCTTTTCATTATACAGTGAAATACTAATTTGATTTGATTATAAACTTATCTGTATAGTAAATGATAGTGTTGAAATGAAAATTCACTATGTGGAATTATTTCAACTTCTTTCTAATGAATGAAATTATAGGATTATATTATTTTTAAAATGTTACTTATTTACTAAGTTCGCGTGTCTAACCATTGGTTACGATAGTCACGCGAACACCAACCAAGTAGTCTGCACCTACCAACAAGGCTCAGATTAGAGGTTAGTGAATTCAAGGATTGATGCCACGTTTTGGTTTGGCCAACCCTAACTTTCTTCCAACCATCTCCAACACTAGTCAGCATTGCACGTCGTGGTAGTCGGTGTTCAGGCATACGCAACACGTGGCCCAACAATCTCAGTCGATGAAGTTTTACAACTTCATCAACTGATTTACCATCATTCTCTAATACCGTGTCTAACCTCATTATTACTTGCCCGTTGATCCTAGCAGATGCGAGCAATATTTCTAAGACATCTGTGGTCAAGTACTAGTAGCTTACAAGTATCTTCTACTCTTAATGACCACGTTTTGCAGTCGTAAAATAGAACAGAACAAACTGCCACGTAGTATACTTGTTCCTTAATTGATAGACAGATATCTCGCCTTCGCCATAGGTGACGTAAGTTGACAAAAGCCAAACGAGATTTCGTTAGATACCAACCCATAAGGGCTGATCAGACTTCCAAGATAAGTGAAGATGTCGACGCCTTCGACTACTTCACTCCTTATCCTTAGTTCAGCTGTTGACGCAGGCCAGAGTGATGTACATGGGGGCAATATATATTTGAACTTAGTTAAAAACGTAGTATTTTGTGAACTATTACGTCACTACAATTTATGTTAAATTAGATCATACAGTATTCATTTAACAACAAATATTATACACATTATGAACCCAATATTTAAGATGGAATGGCAGCAACTCAAGGTCTAAGGGAATAAAGATTTGAACCACTGACTGTACAGGGATTTGACGGCAGCAAGATATTTCCCTTACACAATCAATATGTGCAGCGATGCTGCCTTCTCACAACGGAAGGAGTGAGTTAGACAAGGTCGGTCATGAGAAAAGCAAACTTCACTTTACCCTTACAGATTTCCATCTGCTGGGGTAAAACTTGTAAAATGAGAAGCTAACACATAACAAGCACTAACCACAAAAATCCGTGTGTAACTGACTTCAAACATTTATCTTTTAAACACTCTAATTATGCTTACAGATCGCCAAGATCACTACTAATCCTGTTTGTTCCTCAAGTACCATAACCAGAAGTATCTTTCTATGGTGTGGACATCCAAGAAATGAGAACCGCCCACATACCACTAACAGTACTGGTAAACACCTTGTTCACAAGAAATCCCCAATGGAAAACAGAAATAAATTCATTCGATGAAATCTCATCCAGTTATAAACATGAATAAATACGATTAACATAGTACGATTATGTAAGATAGTGATAGAAGTTGATTGGAAGGAAATCCTACTTTGCTTCATACCATTTTAGCATCAAATTTTGAATGTCGACACTAAATCCTATAGTTTGTAAACACACAATCTGAATACACTTTAATAAACTCGCAGCTATACCCTGTTAAGGAATAATAACAGAAATGGAAACAGGTTTTGAGACCATTTTTATTAGGATCTCTGCCAAAAAAGACTCCATATAAGGTTGTGAAATAACAATAATAATAATAATAACAGAAGTACTAAAAAGCATAATAAACAGAATATAATCTTACCGCAAAAGGATCAGCTTTACCCCATGAGAATTTACCAACTGGTCCACCCAATGTAGTTACAGAGCACAAATGACCAATACGTACTTTTTCCGATAAAGATTCAGGTACACAAGCAAGTATAAAACAAATGTCCAAAAATGCAATAGCAGTAGCTAGTGCAACAACTAATTCTTCACTATATACACGACCAAGATAAGCTCCAATTGCAGGTGAACTGACAAGACTGGCGGCAAATGTAGCTGAAACCTTTGTTAAAGAGAGGAAAAATGGATGTATATATCTATATAATTATATAGTTGTGAATACATTGAAAATAAAAATTGATTTGATAGTAGAGAAAAGTAAACAAGTGTTTAATAAATGACTTCGAATGTCCTGATGCGGTCGAGAGTGAGGAAAGTCAGCTCTCCCTCGCAAAATGCTCTCAATGGCCGCGTGCGTACAACCACTGCCAGAGAAGTCCTGCTCACTACCTTCTCGCTTATATATATATATATATATAATCTAGTTACTGAACAGTTATACGATAATAATATGTAAATAATATTAGTCTATTAATAGTTCTCAGAATTTATCCGTAACTTAATCTTCAATAGGATATAACAGAAATGATGGGTTGACATAAGTCACCACACTTTTAAGCTAGTATGGGCACCAAAAATTGACCGGTAGATCCCGGAATCTTTAAGAACGGTGCACCAAGACTGTCACCAAAATAATAGTTGAGGTACTTACTAGAGTTTGGGAGCTGGATAAAATCTCATTTGACTGCCAGAATCGCTTATTGTTCCAGTTTACAAGAAATAATAGAAATCCTCTAGGGAAAACCTTAGTTGAACTGATGTCACCAACATAATTTCTAAAATATTAGCTCCTACAGTTATTTGACTCTTAAATAGAGCTTTAGAACAATAAACATAAGAGAATCATAAGGTTTTATTACTGGTCAATAATTTGTCGACCGAATCCACGCCCGTCAGCGGGATTTAGAGCAAGAGCATAAACGTACATATACAGACTCGGAACTCTTTATTTGAATACTACTAGTCGAGTCAGAGCTTATGGTCAACTTTCAGCTGAATTAAGATAATGTTCCTCACAGTTGTCTAATTTCTTTATGGATATACTTTTAGTAATGACACTTCACCTAATTTTTTGGAAGTCGATCACGCACTATGAGACCTACTTATCGGCTTGGAGAATGTATGGGAACCACATAGTCCAATTTGGAGACGAGAAGAATGCTGTTTTTTAATCCCCAGAGTAACAACGCTTGAGTGTTTGGAATAGGTTTCTTCATCTCTAAATCGAAAAGCTGCTTCAGTAGTGATTTTTTAGAGCTTAGTTTCATAATGAGGATAATAGTCTGGTGTACCAATGATTCTACTCAACCTGGAAATATCTCGACATATTTAAAAAACCCCTTAACCTATGGAAACCCTGGCCAGTTGTGTTATAGGCGAGCATACCAGTTTCTTGATGACGACCAAGTACACTAGACAGCAGTTGTTTGTGTCCGTCTATGGTTTTGAAACATATACGTGATTTACCAGTAGTTGATTGTAGATGTCTATTGAAGGTTATTCATCTATGATGATGGAGTGGTGCTTGATATCAAAAGTAGAGCACTAGATAAAAATGGCGAGTTCATGATGACATAAACATTCACTGACAAAGGGACGGAGTAGGGTGAAAGTTAGAGGAGACCAGATCGAGACATGACATCAAATCGTGGAGTTATAGAATGTTAGTCTGGTCTGTGTCAGTATATGCAGACCTTTTGTTTGGGATTCGGTAGATAGTGGTTGAAAACGTTGGATGACATGGTACATAATCGGTTGCAACGTAGATGACATGTAATTTATTATCTTTTGGTTTTATTATCACATTAGAATTCTCAATCTAGGGATTTGCTTCTTTTCAGAGTATATTCTTCATGTTTAGTTTTTTTCCACATGGATGAGAACCACCACAAATTCAAAGTCTTTGCTATATATCGTACTAATCCCATCTCGCTTGCCCTAGTACACATTGTGCCAGATCTTAAGTTGTTTAGACTGAATACCTGGTCTGAAATAAGGGACCTGAGCGAATACTGCTGTATCACTGACTCCCTGGGCAGGGTCTTATAAATAACATGACTCTATGTCATTATTACTTAGATCTATTGATAAAATAGCTTGGAATAACTGCGAACTTATTAAATGGGCTACACAAAATAATAGTGGTTTTATGAAATACAAGAAAGCTGCTTATTCATAACCAGAATGAAAAGAACGACAATTCAAACTCATCTTACTGTTTATGAAGAACATAAAAAATGACGATGGGATAATGACTGTTTTCTAATCTAAGCAATACCTGATGATGTTTCAAGTTACTACATTGATACGTCCTTATAGTCACATCCAGTGTCTCATGCTGAGTTATTATTAACTGACAATTATTTAGTCCCTAAACTAGTTAATAGTCCTTGGTCTAAAATCAATGAAAATTTATGGCTACTAGATAATCTGGGAAGTGTTTAAGATGACACAACCAAGTGACTGATGGTCTCCAGTAGCTCAACATATGAACTGCTTGACTTCAGTGACATATGTGCGTATCGTCACATAATGCTAGCAATCCATTTGAGACAACTACAACTGCACACTGAGCTGTAGAATATCCTAGACTCGGAGAGGCTATGCTTCAGAGGTAGCGCGAAACTGACCTAATTAGGTCTTAAAAAATAGAATAACGTTAGGTTTTGACCACTTGGGTGAAATCTAACCAGACCTAAGCAAATGAGTCTCTCAAGTTCTGCATGATGTGCAGTACAATAACGACCAGCATTCCACACCGAACTGGTATATTTATAACACAACAACATAAGACATGTAAACGGATGCAACAATCGCTTGACGTGGTGGTCGACCTATCGTGATGAACCAATAGAGCTATACTGGCTGGAACTATCGTTCCTCAAGGTCCTACCATGTCAGACGGGTCGGTTGAAGAACGGTGAGCATAAAAGCAGCAAACGCAAGGTCCAAGGGCGAAGTCGTACTGCTGAATGTACAGAGGTGTGGTGGCAGTAAATTGTTTCCTTCAGACAACTAGCACAACAGCGATGCTGCCCTCCCACAAGCAAGGATGGGGTTAGAAAAGGTCGACCCTAAAAATGCACAACTCGCCCCATTCCACAGATATCCGTCTTAGGAGGTAAGGTCTCAACAACTACGGAGCAAACACGAAAATTACTCACAAGACGGTCGTGTGTGACCAACTTCAAGCAGTTGTCCCTTGGGCACTGCGGTCACGTTCTCAGATCACAAAGACCACCTCCAGCACAATTTCCTTTTCAGGTACCTCCAAGAGAGCCTTTCCACGGTGTGGGCAACCAGGAATTGAAAACCCTGATTGTAAACCAATAGTGTACATGGGCTCCAGTATCCTGAATGAACAAATGGCCTATGAACCAATTATTAGTCACCGGCTTCCATGGGACTGAATCTGCTTATGATGCTCCACTACCTTGTGGATCAGACCTTAAGGTCGAAGGCTCCGGGTGTTGCCGCCTAAGATAACCGCTTGCTTCGATTTGAGCACCCGGGCAGTATCACAGCCCTCACACATATCGAATGGAATTTGTGTGGCACATATGTATTTGGTTCCTCTTTGTACTAATATTTATGTGTTCAAATAAATCAATAATTCATAATCAATCTCCCTCTTCAATTCCTACTATTCCTCCTACCTCGAATTTAAACTTAAAACTTCCTCCTCAGGTGTGGGGCGAAACACTGTCCCAGGTCTACTAAAACCTTGCTTCAAACTACACATCGGAGCCTTCAACGTACGCACTCCATTTCAAATCGGCAAGCGGGCCTTCCTGGCTAAGACCCTTGAATGGCGTACGATCGGTGTATGCTGTATCTCCGAAACACACACACATAAGATTCCAATGTGGTCATTCATTCGACCTCACTTAGCCCAAACGGAGAGCCAACGAGATACACCCTCCGTGTATTTGGCGACCCGATGGCAAGTTCTCGTGAACTGGCGGGTGTAGACATAACACTAAGTATGAGGGCATAAAAATCACCCTTTGAATGGATCTATGGTAACAATCGCCTATACGCTGTTCGAATAAACGGCTAGGTAAGAACTCGGAAGGATAGGGAAACATGTTGCCTTTTCGTCGTTTCTAACTATGCTCCCATTGATTGCAGCCCGGATGAAGTGAAAGATGACTTTTACTTCCTTATAAAACTAAGCGCTCAGAAATAGTACATGCAGCAGGTGATTTTAATGCCCAGGTAGGTAGGATAAAGTAAACAGAAAGATATTTAAGTGGATATTTTTGGTATTCCGGCACAGTGAACAGATAATGGTGATCGTCTGCTGCATCTGTGCTCAGATAATTGTTTACTTTTAGCAAACACTAATTTTAAGCATAAGGAGAGACATCACCTAACATGGCGACCCACTACATCAAACCAACGATGGACTCAAATAGACCATATTGTCATCAGTGATCGTTGGAGAGGCCCGATAGAAGACTGTTACTCGTTCTGGAATACCTGTTTGAGCTCCGGTCATGCTCTAATACGACCACGCATTTGCTTGTGCCTAACTGGATGCAGAAAAATCACACCAAGAAAACCCATTAGAATTGAACTCAGTGACAAGACCTCATTTGATATGTGTGAGGGCTGTGATACTGCCCGGATGCCCAAACCGAAGCAGACGGTTTTCTTAGGTGGCCACACCCGGAGCCTTCGACCTAGAGGTCTGATCCACAAGGCAGTGGAGCATCATAAGCAGATTCAGTCCCATGGAAGCTGGTGGCCAACAATTGGTTCAGACACCATTTGTTCCTTCAGGATATTGATGCACATGTGCACCATTGGTTTACAATCAGGGCTTTCCAACTGCACTAGGTGGACTCACCGTGTCCACCGGCCTGGTTAAAGCGCCGGACATTCGCTTTTCGTCTTCTCAATTTCGTAAACAACACTCGTTGTGCGAGAAGTCAGTCAGTCAGCTACAACGTAGGACCAGGCACATATGTGCATCGGTCCAGGTTGCCATACCGCATCAGCACAACAAGATGAACACCGGATTCATAGAAGTGGTTAGGTCAAAGGTAGTAATATGTAAGAGAAAGATTGCATATAGAGATATAGTACAAGAAGAAAGAATTGGTTCGTAGAAAGATATGAAGCGATTTTAATCTCTTAGTTTAAGGGAAGACAGGGAGT